AGGGATATCACGAACATTGTCGTGTGCATAGTTGGGTTTTTTTATTCTAATCGCCATCGAGCTCTGATATCGTCAGACCGGACTTCACTCATTGAAGGGGATTAGACGGAACTATTTCCGCACATCAATGGCAAATCCCGTTCCTGTCAATCGTATGGCAACCCCACTTGGACCCGCCCTAATCAGTCCTCAGCTGCTTTACGCTCGTAGTTGAAACATCAGAGCAGGGTTTAGAACGTTGAGCCAAAAATTGAATGAATCGCACTGATTTATCTGATATGATGTTTTGTTGATTGGTTTAGATTACGTACAGTATTTTCTAAGCGAATCAGGAGGCATGTGTGACCATAATGAGCTACACTGAGTGATCTGCTTTGATGAAGATTGCTAATATAGTTTCGCGGTGAGCGGAAAAAGAGTTTTGGTTAGTATACAAGATTAGAGTAAAAAGAGCGCAGTCATTTGGTGGGTTGCTATCATGGCTTTTACACGTACTAGTCGTCTGTGAATCGACAAGCGTTTGGCGTTGATTGCAATATATTATGGACATAAGGCAAAGCTCTGATTGAATGTAAATGAATTCAACAGCACCTATTGAAGGCCGGTCACCAGAAACGGTGCAAAAAACTGATCGGAAACGCTGCGAACACCCACGATCAAAAATGAGTGAACCTTCAAAGTGTTGCAATATGTACGGTGAATGCTTAAATGATCAACAGGCAAGTTAACCCAAGCGGTATCATGTTAGGGTATTCTGTGTTAAAAATATTAAAAGAAAACGAGTTCCGTCTATTCAAAAGCTCAGCTGCAAGAACCTCGTTCCCTGCAAGCGATATTTCAACATGATTTCCATTTTCCGGACTCCATTGGAGAAATAGTGTCTGTATTTCAGACTAGTCAAAAGTTGTCACAATGCCATCGTTCCGTAAACTTTTCACAACCGAACTGTCCGCATGATGCATCATTCCATAACTGAGTCTCCTGTGTTTATTCTCGGTCAACGCTTAAGCAACATATGATTCGTAGCAAATCCTCCTATGCGGGTCCGACGCGACCGATTGGGGTTCATTCATCGATCGATCGAATGGCTGAGCTGCAACAAAGGAAGCAATGTTTGTTCACCTTGTCCACAACCTCGATTTTTTAGCATTCCCAGTAAACACCAAGAGTTCTACCATAGCACCGCTGTATTATCGATAATGACAAGAACATCACAAAAATTGTGAACCGGTGATTAGACAGTCTAGTGGCAGGTTGACGGATTCCAAATCGCGCAAATCACGGAGAATGCTCGAATCAGATTGCAGAGAGAGTCAGATGTGATTTGATCCGTTCAGAGCACGCGTGACAGGGACAAGATGACGTGATGCTATGGATCAATCACGCTGTATAATATTCTGTAACTGGTCAGTGTGTGATGGAAGGCCGTACAAAGAGAGTCCTGGCTAGCAACCGAAGCAAGATTGGGGCTCATCCGACCAGACGCGCAGACGCAGCGGCGGGAAGTGTCTCGCGAGACAATGCTGACTGCCACCCGAAACGAGCGAATCGACAATCACAGCCCGACAGACAATCCGCAGCTAACGGAAAAGATGCCCACCGAATGCCACAACGNGGAAGAAGAGACAACGTACGTGCCAAGTGCGGACCAAAACCAACAAGGAACGACCCACAGAAAGAGGCATGAGTCATCCCGCCGGGCAGTTGAGAATTGACTGTATATAATCGAACGCATAAACTGTTTGTTTTTTAATTGGATCAATAGACGTTTTCCCAGCCAGCTCGCCTTATCGTTACAAGTATAAAAAACACTGAAAGCAAGCTCACTAACCACAATGTGTTTTTAATCAATATATGCGGATTATTTACTTATTGGTATTACCATGATTTTATCAAGTGGCTGACGGTGATTTACCGGGTTTTAGCTGCAGCCAATACCGTTCTTTGAGCCCCACACTTCAAGATTCAAATCCCACGGTCATCACTCGAATATGATGCTTGGTTGACAATCGGGTATTTGGCTCAATACGACAACTAACCTGTTAGAGCCGCATTGACTGATTAGCTTCCTTAGCTCAGCAACTCGTGCCTGACCATACGTCCTAAGTGTAAACTATCAAGTAGAACCAATTATTTATATTCAAATGCAGGAACAACGTGCCAATAAATTGAAAGGTAATTATTATCAGGGGAACAGAAGTGTATGAAAATGCAAAAAGTACATGACCACTCAAAATAATACATCTACGAGATTGATACTCCAATGTGCAAACCTTTCCTGCTCAATACTAACCCAGTAGCATTTATCTAACATATTTTTCGGGATCAGGCTTGACACTTGAGACATTTAGATAGAAGCCCAGCACTACGGTGCAGTTGATTTTGTCTGGAATGAAGATTCGAGGGTCAATTCCAACACATTCCTTTTTCGCGGTTTGATTCGAGCTCAATCTTTCCTCATTTCAGTTCTCGGATGTACCAAAGTACGCCGACCCCACAGTGGAGGATCGCCTTCTTCAAGCCTCTCGAGTGAACAAAGATGTAAGTGTTAGATAAAACGAGTATGACCGAAGATGAATTGAACTATTTGCCAGGAAGGATATTTCCTCTGGCGTTGTATTGCACTTTCCAAGGCTGGTTACATTTGAGAACCGTCCTCAGATTGCACGATTGTCTCACATTGAAACGGTGTCAATATTACAGCAAATGTAGTGTCTGTTACGACTTCGAAATAAATAATCGGAGGGACGATTGAAGAGTTTAAGGGGAAAATTTATATCATTCATTTTTGTGAAAAAAAATTAATTATTCATGTCTTTGTATTGATCTTGAGGATTCACGTAAACCCAATATACAAGTATATAATTAATAGATCTTCACCTTATACAAAAATTTGATTATATATCTAAAAATGAGTTGCAATAAAAGCTCCACGCGTTTATTGAATCTACCGGATTCCTAATTAAATGCATCATTCATTTTTAAGTGCCATTTCATAAACTAATAATAATTAATAAATACTTATCTCTTCCTTGACTGTTTTCTCCCTCCGGCTGCCAGTTAATGTGGGTCTATGCTATGATTACCTGAGTGAGCTCAGACGAGGACGAAAGACACAATTATCGTCCACAAACTACGGTGAAAAACTCATTATTTGTGAAACAGTTGGATGTCTGAACTAGTTAATAAGATGACCAAATGTAGAGCGCGATGAGTTTCATCACTAGTTTCATGTACAGCATTGCATGGTACTCCGTACAATCAAAGATGATCGGTAGCAGTTCACATTTGTGCATGAGAAGTTTATTGTGGCTAGTGAATAATTTCAACATTATGAACAGCAAACTATAATGAATACAGTGAGTGTCATTTCAGCCAAATTTTCCCAATGCAACTTTTGAGTAGACTGTTTCAGATCAAAGTAGAAATCTGGTGACCGTCAGAAAGCGATGTGTTAGAAGTTCACAAATTCTGCTACCATACCTCATTATTTCGAATTTCTTTTCTTCTTTCAGCGAATGATTCGTAAATTCAAGAATTTTTCCCCCAATGGTACTGCATCATATGAACGAGCATTACAAGAAGCTTTTGGTCTTTTGAATAAGGTATGCCACTACCTTTTCTGATCAATTTTTAAATTCAAATATTCTTGAGTTGGACTAATAATGATTGAGGCGTTGACTGCACTACCTATGGTATTATTGATTGATTGGTGGATACTGAGTGCAACCGCATTCAAACACACGCGTGCGTGTCACGATTCGCTTCGGTCAATCAAAAGTTAGTGTTGATCTGTCCACGCTGGCTTACCTTCTGCTCGTTTGACAGTTCGGCTTGACCACAAACTGACTGCATGTAATACCTGGGTCTGTTGCTGGTCTACCTGGTTACCTGCCTGCCTGCTTACGCAAGTGTCTCGGACCTCGGGCCTCGTGCTCACAGCTGGGATTAATCGTACTAATAAACGAGTTGCCTGCATATTTTACTTCCATATTATTCCATACACACCAATGCTGACGATTTACAGAAATCTCTCCTTCATTCTATAGAAGAAAAATAAATTTTTGTATTAACCTTTTCCATATTAACATTCAATATTGGGTTGTTTAAAAGTTTGTCCCGCAATTGAACAAATCCAATAAAGAGTATTTGATCGAGCCCTATTTGGACGCATAACTCTAGTTATGCGTTGAATTAGTTAAATAGTAGCACATATAAGGTAACCTAACCACGGGGGTGCTCACACTATACGTTAACATCATCGGAGTGATTCAAAGGCAATTTTGGCACATTAAGAAAAGTATACAGAGAGGTATACCCCTTGCCAGGTATGTTTTCATTCAATTATCAAATTCACGTAGCCGGTCAATTCTTATTGACATTGATAACTCGCCTACTCGCGTAAGGAGTTTCTAGGCGTTGTTAAAGTCACTAAACATTTTTACTGTGGCCTAGCATGATCACACATCATCGCCGCACTTCCCCAGTTTGAGTTGTTATATTGTTTTGTATTGTTTATAACTTTTCCAGGATATCAGTTAAAATCTATACATGGTAACCAAAGCAAGAATACATTTATCAGGGAAAGTGTTTACAGACAGCATAGGAACATTTCATAGCCCTTTCTTATTTTGTGAGTAAGCGTTAATTCGAGATGAAATTTGGCGAAATTGAAAGCGTGTGCAGGATTGGAAATGACAAAGTATCACTTCTGCGTGCAGTGAGTGGTCAGGATCTGCGAGAATCCTCTCTGCCAATTGCACACTGTAAGCTGTGTGATACTCTGAAAGTTTCGTAGCCAACTCATTCACAGCCAACTCGAAGAAACGCGACTATTAACAATTAGACCGCGGCGTAAGACTTTCAAATTCTATTTAAGTAGGCCAGAAAAAATAACTGAGGGACAATAAAGTAAGATGGGGAAAACACTTACATCCAAAGGAAGAAATGGATGCCTAATATTTCGAATTTGAAATGATAGGTGCTGCAGTTTACCAATGTAGGTGTGAATGTGAGTTAACCAACAAAGATTTCTGTCTATAATTACACCAAAATGTTTGACAGAATTCACCCTAGATAAAGGCTTGTTATTGATCACTGTGGGATCTCTGTCGGGAATGAAAACGAGCAAAACTATAAACACATTCAATACATTTACTAGGGTTTAGGCTCAATCCCGATAGAGAGGAAAATAGCCTAATTTAACGGATACTGTGGGCGGGGGGAGGAGCCGAGATTGGAGGAATAAGAAACGGGGTGGCACATTCATCTGATCAATCAGACGAGGGTGTACATCCATCGGAAAGATTGGCTTAACATATGATAAGAGGAAGATAGCACATTTATTAAATTACCTGGCAACATTTACTTGTAGAACACTTGTTTAAGTGTTCTCTGAAGTACGTTAATTAGAGTTCCAAAATTGGGATAGGCCTGCTTGAGGACACATGACAGAAACCACAGTCAAACATTTTCAGATCAACACAGTTGCAAAAATATGCCCGAACGGAGTTTTTAGCATAAAACCGTTAAGAATCGTGACTATACCAAATGCTGATATCAACGCCCCCGCCCGCCCTCCTTCCCTCAGTACGTGACACCAGAAGTGTACTGTATCATCCGACCCCCAGGACCAGATTTTAGACAACGGCCTGAATCGACCGTGGTGCCTGGAAACATTATGTCTCTCGAGGGAGGCTCAATCGAAATATTGTTGCTTGGCATATACTGAAACGAGATCCACCTCGTATTGGATCATGCAATATTAACTACTTTAAATACTTATCTGCTCCGACAACTCCTAATGCATCAGAAATTGGTTTCGACAGATAAAAGATAGATCCGGCTTATTTCGTTTAGGCGTGGCATATATCAATAGAAAATTCCTCGAGTTATCACTTCCTGCAACCTTTTTTTTCTTTCAATACAGTCTCAGGAACAATCCCCGAACAAGGAACGATGCAATCGGATCTTAATGTTCATCACAGATAGCGTACCCGGTTCGTACAAGGAATTATTGGAACAATACAACCCGGAGGTGAGTGCTCAAGTATGCCGACTGTGTTGGTCAACATCAATGTCAAAAAAACCGAAAGAAAGATCGTCCGTTGTATGAAACTGAGTCAATGATTCAGAGATGTTTTCCGTCTACAGGAGATGTTTTACGTCAAACTGTGATATCTCTAAAAACGAGATGTTCAATTAAGGAGGCTAATGAGGGAAAAATGTAAAAATCTATGTGAACCACAAGATGTTTTACGTGTGCGTTGACACAGACACATACCGGCGAAATTGTTTATCCCCGGTTGCGAGCTTTGAGCTTCCGCTTGGAAGATTCACAGTTTGAATCCCGGAAGGAACATAAACGCAAGCCGCGCTAGCAAATGGCAACATAAACAGTCAACCGGGACAAAAATTGCCCCAGCATAGAAAAGGTCAAAGCAAATAGGGAAGTGGCTTTGAGAAACATTCTCCATCAAATGGGTGATTGGCTTATAGTTGAACGATCAAAATCTTGTCAATTGGTATCATATTTTTTTATCATTTTCCTCCTCGTTCTCGTTCGCACCCCCGCGAAAAAAAAACGCGCAGAAAAATGTGAGAATATTTGTACACCTCTTGGGACAGCATTCGTCTGCCGAACCGTATGTGGAGGAATTGGCTTGTGAAAACCGAGGTAACGATTTTATTGCTTTTGTATGTGTGAGTGTGTGTGTGTGTGCGTTTATTCAATGGATAAATGAATAATATAGAAAATATTCAAGAAATATGAAAAATCGCTTTTATTTTTTGCTAAAATGTGTCGTACAAATGTATCTGCACAAAGGGAATCTATTTCACATCTGGCATCACTTGCAAAGAATCCCTGAATGCACATGTTTCTTTTATAGCGTGCTTTGATTGAGCGTTTTTTCATCATTCGATAAATTATCATCTGCCTCAGGCCAGGGATCCAAGATAAAATCAAGAAATCAATCCAATTTTAATGTACTCTAACTAACTTTATTCTCAGAATTTTACTGATCGATCGGATTCTATAATCCCAATTAGTTAAAAGATAAAATAGAGTTTCCTTTTGTTTTTGGTTTAGGAAACTGAAGTAAAATGCACATATGATCTATCAATTGCATCTGATACCATATCATCCTGTGCATCATTTTTTAAGTTTCTTTAGGAATCACAAACGTGACTGACCTCAATACCGATAAGATCTTGCTTGGCTTACCCGTTTGATAGATGCGTTTATCCGCGACCCTTGGGAGGGCTTTTGTGACTGGAGAGTAGAACAAGTAGGAAAGTGATCTGGCTAAAACTTTGGTCTTGAAAATAGTGGGCTATTTCTGTGTCCACACGTGAAAATACCCCCTCGGATAGCATTTTTTCTTATTTCCCGTAATTTATTTATTCTGTTTCAGGTTACGCCGTGACGATTTCCACCCTCGGAGATGTGAAAGAGAATGTGCTAGTAAGTTTTTCGGTACAGATTTGATTAATATTCCGAAAGGAAGTCATCCGGTAGCTCGGATTTTGTAACAGATAGAAGAAAATGATTGATTAGACCATCATTCGGACTGCACCTTCACGCACATTTCTCAGCTCTTCCAGTCACCCATACACTGGAAAACACTAGACTCGAGTTTCGCTCTTATTAGAGCACATTACGATTGCAAATCCACCGTCCCGCCCAGGATTTGAACTGATCACAAGTAACTGCCAGTTAAACGCTAACGATCAACTCAGCCTGGTGGGTTTATGGCCAGTTAGCCCGTAACCTGCATAGAAGACCTGACTTGGTGGGAGGCTTCCGACTACAGTTAATAGATAGTGAATTGTCTCCCTTCGTTACTGTCGGGCCAAATGACCAGACTGACTATTACTGAGGACAACACGTGAGCAAGCATGAAATGGTAATTTGGTTCAGGTCTGGTATGAGCTGGCTGGCACAGTGGTAATACACACGCCTTTTACGCAATGAGTCCGGAGTTCAAATCTTAGGACTGGATGGTGGATATGCACTCGTAATGAGCTCTACTAAGAGGGAAACTCGAGCCCAGTGCTTTCGAGTGTATGGTTGACTGGAAGAGTTGAGGAATGTGCGAGGAGATGAATTCTGAAAGATGATTAATTATAATCAATCAGTATCAATCATCTCACAAAAATGCTCACATGTAACAACTGTAAGGTAAATGCGAAAGACAGAAGAAAAGTTTTTAAAAATGCATATTATGGGGATTACGAGTGTAGCCAAGCTTCAGTCTGTGAGGCTGTCCTACTAAGTGAGCAAAGTAATTAAAACAATTTGGATTTTTAACTGGAAATATCTTCTTAGGAATGAAGCTTGACAGGATAGAAAACTACCTTGTTTTAGTCCACAATAATAATGCGTTGTAGATGAGTGAATGCTTTTTACAGGTGTTCCCAACGTTAAGTAGCCACTGGATGAACTTATCAAAACTCGTTCTTTGAGGCACATCCCCAACTCGGCACACCTGAAGTTTTGGTCTATTCGAAAGTTTGGTGTGTTTTATTGCACATGATAACAGGTGTTCAAAAATGAGGGTTCACCGGTCTGAATAATTCTGTGAAAATTCAAACGAAAGCCAAATTGCATATTATCAAACCGGGAGCTACTAAAATCCATCTAAAGCCGTAGTCCGGTCTATCATTGCAAAGAACAGCTGAAACATCAATCAAGCCTGAGATGCACAGATTCGATAAAGTGAGTTTTGATTTAAATACTTTACTTGTGCTTTGGTATCTGCTAGGGCAAGCTTGACCTTCCCCTGAGAAATCCCACGGTAGAAATTTGAAGTGGATCGGGATTAACCGCCACTGTGGGAAAGTGTCGGTGAAATGGGACGCTTGGTCGTCAGGGTAGGGAACAGAGAACTGAAACCTTGTTTGTGACGCCCTGGTAACCCCCACTCCTGACAAATGTCTATACCATTATAAGATTGATTTAAGAAACCGTCACTTGGAATTGTAAAAGAGATGCTATGATAGAATCCGCTTCCGTTCAGTGCACCGCATTGGTCAATTGGTCAGATTTTTTTCACCTACCCACTCACCCGCTTGCTTCAGAAACTGTTCTCCCACGCCCTTTCTGTGTTGATATGATGCATGCCCCAGTTTTACATCTGGTCAAGCTCGCTGACGGACGTCGATTCGGTGGATCAGTAAAGCCGTGCGATGTGCGCGAAACAGTTAAGTTAGACCATACACGATAAGCCCCAAGGCTGACTTACTGTTTCGTGTGCGCTACAGCTGGAGCACAACTGATCATAGTTGACGCTGGCTCAGTCACCGAAGATTCCCACAGTTACTACCACCAGGGACGAGTTTTGTGCTTGTAGTGTATTCCAAGCGATATACTTTTCATTTTATTGATCTTGGGTCTATCCAAGTAGCAACTTTTGTTCACCGACATAGGTTGGAGTTATTGCTGTGACCTTTGGTGACTGGGTTGCTTTGTATCAAGCAGCAATCCCAACCAATAAAACGCCTTAGCTACAACTCGCCCAGTCCTGACAGCCCACAGAACTGGACGAAACAGAACGCAGTCGATCTGTTTGATAGAAGAGTTACACGTTGTCAGAAAAAGTATTACTGTTTAAAGAACATTGACAAATTGCATGACATAACAACGGAAGTTTTTTTCACAAGGTCGCGATTAGCAAGCAGACTGAGCGTAAAAGTATTGACCACTGATATAGATTGTTATCGACTCCGCAAATTCACATGTTTCTCCCTTTCTGAATCCACGTTTGGCTTTCACTGTGCCACTGCCTTTTAACTGGGATCGTTAGAAATGCAGAGTGGGACCAGGTTCGGTGATAGTTTTGGCGAGACACAAGTGAGGCAGGACATAGTGATTTTCATGAGAATACGGCTGGGACGGAAAAAGGCAATGAATTTTATAGGGGGGAAAAGGTAGCAAGCTGCGAGCGGTAAAACAATAAAAATTGTTTTGCTGATTATTTAAATACAGAGAACTCAGAAACATGAGTTTGCATCGGGTGAAGGAATAGTTGCCCCACTTCGCCAAATCAAACTGCATGTGCCAGTTCAAGTATGGAGTTGCAATCACCTACCTAGGCAGGACAGTGAGTGAGACAGTGACGTCACAAAATGGCCGAACTCATCCCTGTGTGGATTAAGGAAGTGATGGACGACACGTTTGAAGCCGTGACGCCATCGAATGGGCGGAAACAGCTAAGACCTATAATTACGCAACACCTATTTGCACAAAAGACTGTCACTCCGGGCCACGTTTTTAGGTCATTCATATACAACACAGCAAACACAAAGTTACTGAAATTTGCCGATGCTCATTTAGTCTCAAACCTGATCTATACGAACCCCGTGAGTACATGGTCACATTGGCTTTGCCTCAGTGCTTGAACCCCGCTCTCTTTCACTTTTCGTGTTGCTGTGTTGTGTTGTTCATTGTGATTAGTGATATTGTCTTCGTTGCATATTTTTCATCTTGCTGACTATAAAAATCACTTTGATTGCAAATGGCACGTGTACGGATGCAGATGTACGGATGAGGGATGTATTGTGCCAACCCATGTTTTGTAATTCCTGTAATAGTTGTAGTAATTGTAACACGCACTGATCATGAAACACGAATCACGGATTAGCAATCACGAACGCGGCGTAAGCAGTGGATCACACTGGTACTTGTACGCAATATCCCACGTAATCGAGACGCGAGGAAAAGGCCATAGGAATAGACGTTCGTTTACCTAAAGAA